GCGTACATATATGTTAATATGGTGCAACGACTTACCTGTAATTAAAAATGTATGAGTTAACAATCAAGTATAGATGTAATGAGATATACGAGTATATATAATATAAGTAATTGAATATATATGCCAAAAGTTTTTTCTATTTTCTATATTCTTTGATAGAGGCAAGAGAACTATTAAACTGTTTTTTCTTCACTACGGCAATTTTTAGCAAAATATTTTTCTATAAGCCGCCAGATAAAGTATTATTTTGATAAATTATGCTCCACATTTAACAGCCGCGGTCCAGCATATTTGATATTATTCCATCATGACTATAAGAACTTAGTACAAAAGCTCTTATGATACCTTTGTACTTATAAGACATATACTTTATTTACCCCTTAAGTTGCTATAATGTTGTACTTCACACTGTCCCAAAAGCTGTAAAAGCTTAGTTGGGCTTGCTTGAAAAGCTATGCCCACAACCCAACACTAAAAGCTTTTTGAGCAGCCTTTGCAAAAAGTTTAAAAGTTTTCTAATATAATGTTAAAAAAAGCTTTCGCTAATGAATTCCAAACGCTAAAATATGCTAACATTAACACTGGAGCTCTTATGTCACATAACAGTAAATATGTTGTCAACAGTATTGTGAATGTAAAATATCCTTTAAAAACACCCTGCTGCTGCTAAATAGCCGCTGTTAACAGACTTCATAGCAGAGAATGTTAATAAATAAAAAACATTATCTCTTTATAGTTTGGTTTTTCATTAGCAGTATGTACTTGTATATAGCAGAAAATACAAGCAACAGTAATACTGTTAGCAACGTTCAAAAAACAACCGAATGTTAGCGGTTGTATAAGTTCATAAACTCTTCGTTTGAGTACTTTCATGCATTTTAAAACATTTTCTATTAATTTTTAGTTACGAATCTGCTTATAATCATACTAAAGTAACCAACACGTTGAGTTTGGAATCTTTTTTCAATTTTTTTCTGCCAATATTTTTATGACTCATGCTCTATTTCTACACATATAATGCAACTTTATAATAACTATATTTATTGGTTGAAATAAATCATTAGGATTACATCTTTTTACTATTATGTTTTTTGCTGCCTTGCCCTGCTTTTGGTGTTACATAAGTGTAATAGATTTTGCAAATACAATCTGCGCGTTAATTGAATATTGTCAAATTTATATCGACGCTTTCAGGCGCATATCCAACAGATTTAATTTGCATTTCCTACAAACGCAATAGTCGTTTGCCCGATAAACGCAAACAAATACTGCAGTTGCAGAGAGAAGTAATCGAAGCGAAAACCTGCAATTAAGTGCCGCGCTCCACAATTGCATGAAATCAGATTAGAGCCAAACATATTGGAGTCAACAAAAAACGATATAATGGCAAGCTGTTGAAATACACATATGTTGCGTGTGGAAATGAATGCTGAAATTGAAAAGCGCATCCATATGCCAATGCTGTTTAAAATCAGAAAATCCGACAGCCACTTTTCGCTGCAGCCACTTAACATTGAAAAGCAATCAAAGTGTCAGGGACTATAAAAACGCAGACGCCACGCCAGCACGCATCTGTGTGTGCATAGCGGAAGCATGAGTGTATGTGTGCCTATAAACGCCAACCGCCAAATATGAGCGCAAGCATGCGCGCTTAATGCAGCCATACACATACAGATAGACGCTTTTGCTGGCATCATGTGCATACATATACCCACACACTTGTGGAAATTCCACATGAATTTATAGTTTTTTTTTCACGCAAAGCTTCAATTGAGCATAACAACATGGCTTTTATGTTGTTTTTATTGCGCTCTTAATGCCGCTATTATTTTATTTTTCACACCGAAAATCTGCACGTACTCATACAAACATATATTGGTAATTTTCTATTAACAGTGACTCAAAGTTTGACTGCAAAAGGCAGTCGGCGATTTTGTTGAGTAGGAGTATGCAACTTCAGCAGTCGCGTGTTCAAAACAGAACGAGAAACTTGGATAATTATAAAACTCGTGCGATTACTTACGATAACCTTAACGTCGAAGCTCGTGTTATTTAATGATATAAAAAAGCTTCTTTGAGTTGTGTGATACAAATTTTATGTAAATTTTTGCTTGGCACTTTGTTTCACTGAAAGTCTTTATTTGGCCTATACTACTTTTGAGCTTTCGAAAACGCGAAAACTTACAGCCAACAGCACTAGTAAAAGTACTAATTTCTGTATTTTTCCGGCCATATTTTACTTTTGAATTTTGTGTCCGCCGAAAACTCACATATTTCACTAACACAATAGTTGTTGCACCTAATGCGGCGCAAGTTGCCTAGGTTAACTGTAAATTTGCGCAATTGGCTGAATCTGTTAGCACATAAGTATACTCAAGCTAACAAGAAAAGTTACGGCTGTTAACTGTGTTTGCATATAAATTCATGGTATGCGTTCGTGGAAAACAACTAAATTTGAGAGATGCGGAAACACATAAATCCCTGAAATACCCTTCCGCCAGTTTACTTTGAATTTCTTTCAGCTTCTATTTGTAACTCTACTGTACTTTCTCACTTGATATCTTTAGACGCGATTTTGTAAGGCGTACAAAACATATTTAGATGATATTTTTAATACTCCCAAACAACTTTTAAATTTCTGAAGTGACTGCTTCACACAGCAATCGAATTACGTGAATCAACAAGATAAATTTGTTAAACTAGTAGTGGTGAAATTCCATTAAGATTATTGCTTCCTGACGACAACAGCAACTTTTCTTTGGTTTCATTTCTTGCGCCAATTTTTAATTTTCGTCATAAAATAAACACACAGCACACAAGTTTGGCAATTTAACTCCATTACAATTAAGGAGAAAATGGACCATACGCACAAGTTTCATAAAGTTGACCGTCATCACAGTCGCCTGCTCGAAGAGAAAACACAATAAAGTTACCCCAAATTACTCTGCCAACTTAAGAAGCAATTAAAGAAAACAATCAAGAGTAGTACGTCGCCGAAGAAGCCAACATCTCAGCTGTTTCCTTTCCCATGCACTACTTGGCAATAGTTTTTGCCTTGTGGGCCTTGAGGCTAGGCAAGTGCCTTGTGATTTTCGACAAGATAACAACTTGCTTATGCGCCGTACTTACCAGTGTAACTACAATACATACGTGTACATATAAATACATGTGTGTGTGTATGTAAGTATTTTTGTAGTTTTGTATGTTTAAGCAATCGACTAACAACTAAGTGAATTCTGCTAATATTATCGTTGCGCGCTAGTGAATGTTTCTGATATTAAGGCTTAGTTAAAGTATTCAAAAATATTCATATTAGCGTAGATACATAACCATAATTTCCACTGAAAATATATTTAAAACTATTTTTAAATCTGCTTCTACCCAATGAAACGGGACAACCTTTAATTAATTTTAAAAGCAACTGCTACATTTCTAACTTTATATGTTAGCAAATAGCAAATATTCACTTTATACTCCCTAAGCAGTGACCCACTCTAATGAAATTATGGTACATACATACATTGTTACACACTCGAAAGCATTTGTGGCTGTGTATTTCCATTAATCGCGCAGCTATAAATTATTACAAATATACATCTGAGCGAGCAGACCAACAGACACATATGAAGAAAGTGTGTTTAGAAAGCGAGAACAATAAACTCACGGTAGTGTAACAGTAAATACAATATTTGAAGGTTCGCAAAGCTGCCGGAAAATTACATTTCGCAGAAAAATAAAATCCCTCATAATAGGCTTACGCTGTCCAATTTTTGCGATAAACAAAAACACAAACAAGGCAACAGCATTACCCGGCAGTAAATTGACACACACTCACGCTAGGTGCCTTAGTGGCGGACTATACTCGTCTATCTAACCACAGTGGCGGCGCTCTTTGGCATAAATGTGAGCTACCAATACCACATAAATACGCTGAAGAAGCTAAAGAACTGTTGGTCAGCTGTGGGACGTATGCAAAATGCTTGAAATTTTTTCGTTACACAGACGCAATGCAACCATTTTGCACCGGTTCGGCAACGCTAGTGATAACAAGCGCAAATGTCCGCAAACTATTATTTATTACAACTCTTTGTAGATACGTCTAAGTACATGAATAAGCTTTTATGGCGATCTCAGCACACATGTCTGAATCGGCAATGTACATATATCTGTGCCAAGCAGCTGTAGCTTTACAGCCGCTTAATCGTATAAGCTTACACACTTTCATGAGCATGTGTGTTCTTAAAGTTAAGCGCGCTTAACCTGCAAACAAGATGCGTTTCTGCTCAGCCTACCAAAATCAAGGACATTTTAGTGATTTACGATGTGGACGCTCGTGCGTCGCGTACTCGGTACCAGCCCAATAGCGTTCAGCTAAACAGCCAGACAAGGTGTAAGCGATTGGGGACTATGCTGTTTCTTCTTATAGATACTAAGATTTATTTCATAAACTGGAACAGAGCACATGTGTATAAGCGCGACAAGGTAAGTGTAAACAGCAACAACATGTGCAGTGCCATGAAGGTCAGGCCGTTATTTCACACTTATCAATTATATAAACAAATATTTTACTTATCATTAGAAAGCTTTATTGAATATATTTTTATAAACCTGCAACATGTTGCTACAGAGTATAATAGTTTTTTAAAGGCATATTAAAATGTAGGGTGTTAGAATATCCGAGATAGTAATGTTGCCTAGATTAAGAAACTTTGTGGGGTAACGTTTTTGTATCAAAAAGTAGTTTTACAGAGATTGTTTACTTCTAAACCAGATCTATACTATCATACGCCTTAAAATCTTGCTTTCATACGGATAAATACACAAAGCTTCCAATTGACAATACTATATCGCCTTACTCATATCGCCCTATATTTTTCACTTATTCCCACATGCATGTAGTCTTATCCTTGAGCATTTAAATCCTGGTGATTTTCATGCATTTCTTTTACATGCAGTCTTATGCTTGTGTATTTGCATCGTGTTGATTTTCGTGCACCTACCTTTAATGAAATCAACCGCCATCTCCAGCCCATACGTGTCCTTATCGCAATCGTCGAGTATGTGTGCGCCTAACGTTACATTCGGCAACAATTGCTGCTTATTCACTTGATCGAGCGTGTAGAGCATGGCCTCGAGTGCTTGTATGCCACCTTGCGGCATTATGGGGCCACAAGTGATGCTGTCCTCACGTGAGTGGACCATCATCAGGCCGCCGAGTATGACATCTCCTTCCATTACCGAAGCGTGTTTCACGGGCCAAGCAGCGCCGCCTGGTGTGGCAGTAGCACCGATTGTTGGAGTCATCATTGTTACTATTGTGGAAAATAGTGCATACTCTGTTGCACTACTCGTTGTGGTGGTGAGTGCAGCGAAATTGGGCAGCACAAATAATGAAGTGTCCGTCGTTGTCGGAGTGTCATTTATCGTCACATTTGCCGCTATTGCCGCTTGTATCACTGATTGCGCTGGCATTTTGGTGTTCATTACATCGGACAGCACTGCAGCTGCTATTGTCGTTGCTATGACATTACTTGCTGGTGTTGTTAGTGTTGTATTCACTGATAGTGGCGTTGGCATGACAGCCCGCATAGTAGCATTTGGAATTGAGTCGGTTGTGCCAATATGACCAACAGCTATCTCAGCGGTGTTGAAGGTGTTGGTGGTGTATTTGGTATTACTTCGGGTTGTTTGCTCTGTCGCATACCATTGTATATCTTTAGATGTCGTCCATGCTGTTGTGGTACTTTCCAATATTTGCTTGGTAGTTGAGGCATTGTTTGCTTCCTCTGCGTTGGCATCATCATATGTTTTGAGTGCGGGTGTGTGCGCTGTGGTGTTTATTGTAGCCGATGTCGCAGCGCCATTCAATGCATGAAAATCTGCGACGGCATTAACTCCTTTTTGATTGGGAAATGTTTCAGCAGTGGCGCTATACTGCTGGATCTCCACCGCCGTCAAGTTAACGGCTTTATAATCGCGCCCTCTTGGCAGCTTTGTACTTTGTGTTTGCGTGGCATATGCGTTGGCCTTTTCATTTTGACTGGCACCGAAATTTCCATCTGCTGTTACATTTTCGCGCCACTCGATGGCGTTCGAATTGTTTCTCATTGTGATTTCAGCGCCGTTTGCTGAGCGCAGCGTCATTGTTTCCGTTGTCATTGTGGCTGGCGTGCTACTTTTAAACGGTTCCTGTATTGTTAGTTTTTCGCCTGCATTCCACTTGCTTTCTGTCTCCACAATCTCTTTTCCATCCGCTGCCAATAATGTGTCATTCAGCTTCAGCGCTTCACCCGTTCGCATGTCGGGCCGACGTATATAAGCCGTTAAAAGATTGTGCTGCTGCTGCCGCTCCGCAACAGTCTCACCTTCAGCGCGCTCACCATAGTCTGTGAGTGGCAAGGACAAAATTGATTTGCTCTGTTGTTCCTCAGCCATAGCCTGAGTTCCATTGAAGCGGGCTAAATGCTCGTTGTTAATCCCTACCGAGCTTACAGTCTGCTGCGCGCCTTCGCTTGCGCTGTCTGCTTTTAATTCCACAAATGGCGGTACATTGCCATTATTCGCCGGATGTTCGCAATTATCTGGCTTAGTTGTAGCAGTTGTCGGTTCTTGCGCCACTTCGATCTGTTCCGATTTTCCTGTTGCTGACATTGACGCGCTTCGCTGGGCTTTTGTTAGATTCAACATTTCTGGCTCGGCATTTTTAATTACTGCGTCCTCTTCCTCTGACACATATTCACCGTTTTGCCCCGGCGCATCAAGTGATTTGTGTGCCTGCGTTGCCTCAATTTCCCTATTACTCAAACTATTGTTTATTGATATTTCAAAAGCTGGCATTTCTTCAGTGTCAACAGCATGTTTATCCGACATCAATCTCTGTCTCACATCTTCCCTTCCTACCATTTCCTTAGACAGCAACGTATTCGAATCGTGATGCAGCTCACGTCGGTTTTCATGAACGTGCGCGTTTCTTGTGGCATTTGACGTGATATTTGTCATATGTAAGAGCTGTATACCAGACATTACTCTAGATTTATTTGCTTGACGATGTCCATTAAAGTCAGCGTTGTTGACATCCACGCGTTGTTGCGTATCAACTAGCTGCTGCTCTGCTTGTTTTTCATCTAGTTCATCAAGCTGCACTGCTGTCGGTACTTTATGCCATTCAACCGGCGGCCAGCTATTCAGGGCAGCCACTGTCTCATTGTTGTCTCGCTTGTTTGCATACTTCAAAGCGCGCTGCTGTTCCTCAGGCAACAGTCCTTCACTCGACTCATTGTACGTTTCATTTTCGCTTTTACTTGCTAGTTGTTTAGCTACGCTATCGGCTATCACGTTTTGAGTCTCTGTTTGCTTCAATAAGTTGGCCTCCGCTGTTGGCTGGTCAACTTGAAGCTGTGTAATTTTCTGTGGCATTGTATCTCCAGTTGAAGTTATTAATATTTTGGCGCTTTTAGAGCCACTATTTTTAACTCTTGCAAGGTTGTCTATAGCGACCGTAATTGTTTCGTTTAAATTTGTTGATTGCCTCTTCTTAACGCGCGCTGTTAAACGCTTGAAGGTTTCTAAGCTTGTGCGCTCTGCACAAGTCCCATTACACGCTATTTCCAGCTGCAACTCGCCGAACTTACTGTGCTTGTTTGCTGTTCTTGAGTCTTGTTTCGTATCCGCAAGAAGTTCTGGTTTTCTTGCGACTTCTTGCTTTTGAATGCCAAAATGCTCTTTCCTGACTTGTGATTGCGCTTCCATTTCGTTCAGCGCTGCATTCTCTTGTAATATTGAAGTCACTTTATTTGGCTTCATCGCTAATTTGCCTCTTTCTACTTGTGCGACTTCCGTATTCAATAGAGGCTCTGGTTTACTAAAGCTTTTACCTCCAACTACAGCGTTGCGCATTCCCACCTCTTTCGGTGTTTGTTGGCTTGTCAGCTCTTCGAAGATGTCGCTTTTAGGTTCTAAGTGCTTTTTATGTTGTTGCAGCAGCTCTGCGTATATGTTTAAGACTTGCGATTGCTGTTGTGGGCGTACTAAGTACATGGCTTGCCCTAAGTACCTTTGCTGCCGAGTCAGTTGGCTTTTGCTGAATGACTTTTGCGGTTGGCGTCGCTCGCCCTTTTGTTGCCGTTGTTGGTACTGCTCTTGTTGCTCACCTTGCACAATAACCCCTAATCGCTTCGAGCATTTTGTTATTTTACAATCCTCCTGGGCAGTTTTCAAGGTTTGCTGTGCTTCTGCAGCAACTTCGCTGGAATTGCTTTGCGTCGCGCGCTCGTATTTCGCTTGCTCATGTCCTGTCGTCAATTCAATTGTCATGGCTGTCGATTCATTCTTTATCTGCTTATCGCATTTCACTGACTTTGCATTTTTATTGATAAAATTCAGCTTTACATTTAAATCCGTCAGCGGCGTTAAGCGCCTTTCAGTGTTTTTACTATCCTTTCCGCGTCGCACTTCGCCGTCTTCGCCCACATTATTCAGCTCATTTGGCAACTGTTCAGCTAGTGGGTTTTGAAATTGAATGGCATGCGGTCCATTCCCACACGGTGTCTGTGGCAGCAGCTGAGTTGGCACGCTGTCAGTTCTAAAGTCGCTTTTAGCTGGATAATCCGCTGTTGTTTGCGAGTTATACGCTGTTCTCATTGCTTCCGACGCAATGCTCTGCTCTTTCGTGGCATCGCCTTTGTCGCTTTGAAATTGCGTTGAAGTGAATTTCGTTCGGGAATTTATGTTATTTATTTTGCTTTTGACTAAAGTCTCCCTCGCATGCTCAGCGCCCGAGAATACCACTTCTGTAGTTGGCATTATTGTGGTTGGGGGTATGTGAGTTGCTGGCATAACAAATTGCAACATTTGTGTGGCGCTGTTATTGGTTACCATGTCAACTGAGTCAATTACAGCGTCATCGTCAACATTATAAACATCGTCATCATTGTCCTCAGCAGAAAGTTTGGCATCTACGTGTGGATCAGCTGACGCAGCAGTGCCGCTATGCCCATGGCCAACCTGTGCACTTAGCCAGCTCACCTGTTCTGTTGTAGTTGCAGTTGTTGTTTGTGTGGAAGAGAATTCCCTTTGGTTTTTGCGTTCTAACTCCTTTTCATTGCTATTTAGGCTCTTTATGCTGGTAATTATTGTTGCTTGTTGCTGTTGTTCGTTTTGTGCTGATTGTTGTGGTTGATTAGAGTTTGATTGCTGCTTTTTGCGCTCAGCTTCCGCTTGATCCCACTTCTTCGAAGGTCGCACATCAATTGCTTGCCGCCACTTAGTTGCACTACCACTGTTATTGTTGCTGCCACCATTGGTGTAGCTGTTATTCAACATCATATAATTCGTTGTTACAAGTTTATTATTGCCAGTTGTTGCTGACATTGGCAGCACTTTGCTGCGAAATCGGCGGCGCGCAGTTGTAAAGTTTCGCACAGTTGCCGCGGTTGGCTGCCGCAGTGACGCGGTTAAAAATGTTTGCAACTTTTGCTTCTGCGGTCGCATTTCGCTTGCATTACGCGCTAATTGCTCGACGCGGTAATTTATCGCAGCTGCGCCCATTCGCTCCCTTAGCGCGCTACTTTTGCCAGCAATGCCAACTTCGTGCGCCAACACGCCCCCATCAGCGTCGTCGTCATTACTATAATTCAGTTCCGTTGCTGTTAACAACTCAGTTGCACTCGCTTGCCAGGCTGACACCTTATTTTCTCCACTAATTACGTTTGATTTATGAGCTACATTTGAATGCAGTTGCAGTGAAGCCTTTGCGACAGCAGTGTTACTGCCAGCTGCTGCTGCTGCGTGTGTGCCATCGCGCTGCTGATTAACTCCGCTCTCTTGGCTGTCAGTTGCTGCAGTTGTTATGGTTGACGGAAGCAGTATAAGCAACATTGTCGTAATGGTGATCATGTTAGCGAAAGTCTGTCGTCGCGTTGCATTTGGCAAATTGCTGCTTCCGCCACCAATTCGGTTGTGTGTACTCATTGTGTGGCACCGCAGTGCGCAGCGTCGGCGCGACATGTGAGTAGCGTTGGTTGCGTGCAGTCGTCGTTGTGCTTGTCGTTGTTGTCGCTTAAGTCTTGGAAACCTGCTCTCAACAGAGAATTATTGTGCGTCACTAGCATGCAGCGTATGCTTGTATGCGCTGACGCTACGTTTGAATGGTTTATTGCTTCAGGGAAGTGAGCGCCGACAAGTTCTATTACAAAAATTGTTAGGCTGCTCACAAATTAACAACCGTTATGCTATTGTTTTAAGCTTTTGACCGCTTTGTGTTTAGTTGTGGTTTTAAATTGTCTTCAGCACTTGTTCATCTACAAAAAAGAAACAGAAAACATATTACAATTAGTTATGGCTTCATACTTATTGTAAGAACTTGAATTACAGCTGCAATAATCACACAATAATTTTTGGAATAGACAATTATCAACGTCTGGTTTGCAAATACGAGCCTTTGAGTGCATTTATGGTAATTTATGATTGATCTCTTCCTGTGCCCATCTATGCTGCAACCGGCATCAGTCAGTTCTCAACTTAAACCTGTCGCCAAATAAAATATGTTCAGCACCCTTCGAACCCCACTCTCTCTATCTTATTAATTAACTCTTTTCTTTATCTCCTATCCTCCGCTTATATTATTATTATCTAAAGTAGGAAGGTAAAATTCTCTTCGACCAACAATTTTCAACATAAATTTACCGCTTAGTTGCGGTCAGCAGATACTTAAATTTTCAGCCAGTCACGCGTAATTGCCTGCCCATAATTGCTGTACGGCAACTAATGGCGGATGCAATAATCGTAATAATAATTATAAAAGCGATAATCCGATGACGGATGACGGATGCGCACAATTTAGCAGCTGGACTTAACCGTTTCTTAAATACACATACAACGCCAATAACCGCAGCCGGAAACATAAAAGCGGCGCGTAGGTATGCTTTTAAATTGCGTGTTCGTGCAAAAGTACGAAACAGTAACAACAAAGCGGAGTGAGAGCAGCAGTTGGCATTTATTGTAACTTTTGAACTTGCGAATTAATGGATATGAAACAGTTGGTTCGGCAGATGTGAGCGGAGGCGGAGTGTATACGCGTCGAACACCACGCGGAAATATTTATTTTTGATGAACTTTTAAACGCCTGAAAATGCGCATTTCAGCTATTTGTGAAGGCATGTGGTGTAAAAAATGCTAATTGCCAACTCAAATTCGCCTTCTTTGCAAAATTTATTACAGAATAAAAACAATGATGATATATTGCGGTCTCAAAAGCTTTTCAGACTCTGCTTACTAACTAGAGAGATAGAGCGAGTATCGCTAATTTTTCTTTTTTTTTCACTAATAATCATAAGCAAAATTTTCAAATCGTTAACTCACATTCGATTTTCCTACTGGGCATTAACAGCAATGACCAAACGCATGGACGCACGAAAAGCTATGCTGAATAGCATGAGCATATGCGAGCGCGCGTGTTCAAATGAAAGTGAATAGCGAAAAAATTCTAAATTCAAGGTAACACACAGTCAGCAAAATCCTTTCAAATGAATATCAACGTCATGGGAGCGAGTGGTTGTTGAGCGCGCGCGTTGAGTTTGGGTAATGACGCGTGTAGCTAGCGGATATGAGCAGCGCTTTTATGCGGAAGCGTTGTTGTTAGTTAGTTTTCAAATGCAAAAGTGAAACGGCAAGTATAAGTGGAGGATGTGATGTGAATCGCTGGGTGTTGGCGCGTGAAAGCGTTAAGTAAAGGTGACACTCTTTTCCGGCTCGTAACTCTTAATGCCCCAAAGTGCAGCTGCCACAAAAAGGGTGTCACACATTTCGTTTGTAGCGCATAAACGGTGGGGCTGCTATTTGGCAATTTGTTGCTTTTCTTTTTATAATTTCACATAATTATGAGTGCTGGCAAATGTATGGGTGTTAGTTGTTTGTATTTCTTTGTATTTAGTTGGGATTTTAAATAAAAACTATAAATAATAAAAACTATAATAATTGTAATCGCTGCTAGTTATTAGAAATATATAACATGGATCTATCAGCAGTTTTACACGGATGTGCAGCAATTCTTACCAGAAAAGTAGAACGTCAGTCCCAAACTGCACAAACTCTAGGTTAAGAGCATTAACATATGTATATATGAAAATCTGCTGTAGACTAAATTCATATTTTCTTAAAAAATCGTAATATTTTCGGGGTCGGCCTTGGTCGCTCTTAAATTTTTTTCTTCTAATTTTCGCTGAATTTTCAACTGCGCGAAAAAACAGAAAATATTTTATACTGATTTTTTAAAATAAATACGCGAAAACTTATACTTAAAATAAGTTTAACTTCCAGCAACTTTTTCGGTTTGAAATTTATTGAAATTTGCGCTTAAATTTCCGAACTGCGCTAAATCGATTTGCAAAAAAAGAGCTTTTTGTGTTTCAAGTATCAATTAAAGCGAGGTGGCTAAGTACCACACAAAATGCGCACAACAACAAAGACCACCACTGATAGCGAAGGCGTGTTGAACGCTTGACTATTTAATTAAAAACTTCATCAATGTAAAGCACTGTTCAACTCTTCGTTAGTAGTCGCTAACAAATAGCCGGCAGCAAATGCTGTGACTAGGAAAATAAGCAGTTCGATGTAAATACAACTAAATACAACAAGAACAACAACAGTTACGCGAAAATAAAAAAAAACAAGATACACTTAACGAGCCGCCAGCATAGCAGGTCAATTAAACTTCACAGCACAAATTGGTGGGCCGATGGGCGCGAGTGTATGGGCGTAAAAGTGTTGCCGCGGCTGCGTAGCGTTTGATTCACTCGCAGCTTCTTGCGCCATGATAAGTGCTGCAAGTGGATTTTGTATTTATTTTCTAACGGCGCCTTTGCCATCGGCTGTTGAGCGTAAAGTCAGCTGTGGTGTGTTTAAGGCAATGCCGCAGCATTTTTTTGCTCGAAATTTCACGCTCAAGTTTCAGGCCAACAATTGCAGCAGGAAGTGGTTCAGCCGCTGAATAAGTTCATTAAATTTGTAAAATTCTGCAAACTTAACGATTTAATTAGTATTACAACACTTGCTTGCTGTGCTGAAATTCCGATACAATTTATACCGCAACTGATTTCAGCACGTATTTAGTAAGAAGTTGGGCAGAAAAAGGAAATATGAAATGATTCTTACTTTGAGAGACTTAGAGAGTGTAATGAGAAGAATACATGTAAATAGATAAGCTTAAATATTTACTAGTATTTGACATATATAAAAATGTATCAAATTAGGATTTTGAGGCAAGTGATGTATGTTGCCAGCCTGATAAGTTTACAATTAATTTTTAAGGCGACATTTTCGAAACAAAAATTTCTGTCAATAATTTTAAAGCGAACGTTTCAAGTTTCGCAATTAAATAGTAATATACAATAATATTCCTTACACTACCTAATGACACAAAAATATAATTGAAAAAGTTTCCACAACACACTTAATAAAGTTTGAATTTACTAGAACACCACAAAAGTGTGAAAACTTTAGGCCCAAAATAGACAACAAAAAAAAGTTATATTGAAAGGAACCGCAACTACAGCCACAAATATTTTGTCATTAGCAGAAAATTCCAAACATGTTTAAATAGTCGACTGATAAGGACAAATAGCTCTCGCACATTGTTTGTGGCCATACAACCCGCCGGCAAAATGTTGCAGAAAGGAAAAATTATTTTTAATGAAAATAGGCAGAAAAAAGAAAATGACGAAAAATATTCGTAATTGAAAATAAAAGAGAGAAATACAGAAACAAACTGTCAATGATCTGTGAAAAGTGAAATGAGTAAAAAAAGAGAGCAAAAGACACTTGGTGAGCAAATGCAAAGCAGCTGAAGCAAATAGGGTTGCATGCACCTTTGATAGTTGCGACATTTCAAAAAGTGACCTTCGTAGTGCCGAATTAGACCAAAGCGGACATAAAGATGACATAAAGCAGACAAAGAACAAAAAAGAATATAATAAAATAAAAGGTTAGGGAAATGAGCGCAGGCGAATTGTGGCAAAGTAGAAATAATTAAGTATGCCACGGGCAATAAAGCGACTGCAAAGAAGTGCCAAGTGCCGTAAACGCACAATAAATGCAGGCTAAGTTGTCCTTACGGTGATGTTTGCTAACTCTTACATTTGCACACAGAGAATCGTTTCGCTTTGAATTGGTGAAATATGTGTCGCAGCAATGTCATTATGCCACTAAGGCAACCAAGTTGGTGTATGTGTGCGGCACGTTGCACTCACACGTTAGCACACAAACTTTGCGTTACATGTATTAATATTTTATTTCTCACTTTAACTTTTTTCTTTCTTTTCTAAATTCTTAAATTTTACTTAAGGTTTGGTATTTACTTTTGAGGTCTTCTCCTTGAGGCTTAGACATTTTGTTTAACGACATTGATGTCCGGTGCTCCATCACACCGGTCGTAAAGTTTGCTTTCTTCCTTAAACAGTTTCATTTCATTTCCTGTCACTGCGTCCTGAACTGACTCAACATTGCTCCGAGCTTCGTTTGTGGTGTTGAATTGTATATCCGGTCGTGTGGTTGTTTAATGCGATTTAACGGAGCGTCGGTGCGCACACAGCGCATCACTAATAAACTAGATAATTTACTGTTTATTTGCCTGTTTGCAAGGAAGATGCGGCAAAAGTTAGCGCAAGCGGTTGGAAGGCATGAAAAACGTTAGAAAAAAGGTGAAGCAGAATGAAAGTGAAATGCGCGGAAAATTAAGCGAGTGACAATGATATTGTTGTCAAGGAGAACTTGAATATGCTCGCAATATAAAAATAAAAAATAAATAAAAATAATAATAATGTGTGAAAATAGCATCTGTATTAGGGTGGAGCGAAAAAAAAATGTCGAGTTTTTTTTTGGTTTAAATTTTGCACATTAATATACAAATTACCGAATTTGATGGTTTTTGACTCAAAATTTATTTTAACGCTTAAGGAAAGCATGTTGTCGTTTAAGCCTTTTTTTCTAAATTTCAATAATGACCACAAAACATTTTTTAAGTTGATAACTTTTAATTGGCCAGTAAGACGACTCTCCACAGCTTCTAGAACACTGATTAAAAAATGTTTACGAAATAAAAATTTTAACTCGAAATTAACTTTAAAAGTGAGTTGTTAAACATTTTTTTTTTTCCAAAAATTTTCTTTTTTTATAATCTACAAATTTTGCCCTCAAGCTAAACAAAAAGCTGAGAAAAAAATTTTTTATTTGTTCCATCCTAATACAAATGACATATAATACATAACAGACATATATACACATAAGTTTTTACACATTATAATTT